AGGGTTTAGTATTTAGGGTTTAGGGGATCCCCCTCTCTTCACGATATCCCCGAAGATCCCCAAGCCCCATGGCTTCAACTCTACGCAGAGAAGTCCTGGAAACCCTGTAAGCCACGAAGCTGTCCAGGACGCCGATGTGAAGAAAACCAAGCTCGCTGCCGAGCTCGCCAACGGACGATTGGCCATGGTTGCTCAGCCATCCAGTGGTTACCATAAGCGTTGCTTTCAGGCTTGGCACAGGGGGTTACTGCGTACATCTGACACCCGATGTGTCCGTAGCTTGTTCCTCCGTGTCACTGGGAAGCTGAGTAAGGTCGCTCTGATGGCGATGCTCTTCCAAAACGGTGCCCTGGCGGCGAAAGTGCAGAAGTAAAATAGCAAGGTTTCGAGGCGTAGTGCCCTCCTGAATGTCAAGGCACTAAAGCCATATTATAACCTAAGCCATGAAGCAACCATGTGTTTCGGGAGGGAGCAACACCTGAGCATTCAGGGTATCTTGAACCTTCCATAGTCCGGCAGTCCAGGTTCAAAGAGAGAACCTTAAGCCGCAAACCCTAAACCCTAAACCCTAAACCCTAAACCCTAAACCCTAAACCCTAAACCCACCTTCTGAGCGCAGCAGAGGAACCGTGGGCACCACCGGTCCGGCTATGTGGCTTCCGGCCGCCTGAGACGTTGAGCGCGAGAGAGCTCCGCGTGTAAATGTACATCTGGCGCCGCGGGATTTGTCAAAGCAAACCGGGCGACCTGCCAATCTTTTAGCTACTGCAGTGGGAATTTTAGATTTGTCGCAAGCTGCTAGAGCTGCCGTGGCCACCATATCCAAGATGGTCACCACGTTGAAACATATGTAAGCTTTTTGTGGAATACCGCGTCAACTTATGGTGTCATGTTCGATCGCGCTGTAGTGCACCATGTGCGTGTAGACCGTCACGAGCATAGGTGGCCGTGGCGAGAGTGTCCTGCCGTCCATTTGAAGGAAAATGTCTCTGATCTGCTTTTAGGTGGTGATGATGCCGTGCTTACTGCTCTACGGTTCTGATGACTGTAGGATTGCGGAAATGATTGTGAAAGTGAGGTCGGTGATAGTTTCCTTTGTTGTTCGAGGCCCCCTCACAACCTTCAACTTTCGTTTCATTCATTCTCAAAGCAGCAGAACCTGGAAGCCCGACACCCCGATCCGCGACATTCAAAGATTGTGAAGCCATCGGCCCTCGCACCCTCAAGCTTAGATACTGCTCCTGAGATTTGACCCCAAGGAGAGCCCGAAAACTAGAATCCTTACCCTTCTGGGACGAGGCCAACAAGATCGTGCCTGCTGGTTCAGGCCGGGAGCCCGGGGTGATCAGCACAACTTCCACGGCCCTGCGAGCGCGACGACGACGGCGACGATGACGGTTCGTGTTTGGATCAAATTCAATCAAGTAGTGATAGCTGGTGGAGTGCAGGAAGTGGAAGTATGTGCTCGCTTTTGCCCTCGAATAGTTTCCTGGGGGAGGGCTGAGATCCCTGGTTTCTGCTGAGGCCTGAGGATGGTCTGATGATCTCTGATAGTCTGCGATTTGGTCTCAGGGTTGGCGGCCTCGACGGTACTGTAGCTTCACTTGTGGCCGCTAGGCAGAGAGAGAGAGAGAGAGAACATATGTCCACTTGGGGGAACACTTCATCCCCCGAATAGGAGCCTCGAAGACTCACAGACGCGAGCCATGGGGGTCGGCCCTCGGGCCAGGGGTCTTCGACCCCACACCCCTTGCAAGCAAGCACGAACAAGGGAGAGAAAGAGAGAACCTGTGAGGGAGGGACACGCAGACAGGCAGAGAGCCAGCTGCGAGCTTGCGCCATCGAGAGCGAGAAAGAGGGGTGTTGGATATGAGACTTGGACGTGCCACCAAGAGCAAGCCTGCTGCGACTCTTCAGGAACGACTTTACTGCCACGGCTGCCATCCGCAATCCAGGGCATCCCGACGCCGCTCGCCAATGTTGGGTTTTGGTTTTGTTGGCCATGAGGGGCCTTAATGTTTAGAATAGGGTTCCCTACCACACTCAGACTATAACATACCCAAAACATGCTAATGATTCAGACTCCTATATTAACTGATTTTTTGTGTAATTGCCTCCCTAAATTCTATTGCAACTACTCCGGCTCCTCTATTTCAAGCTCGAACCGCTGACCGCAAGGTTGTTGATGTCAATGATTGCCTTGCGCCACTCTTGCGCCTGTGACTTGCAGATCTCGCGCGCATGTAGGGGGTTGGGGCAAAGCTGAAGCTGCATAGGCTACGAGCAGGCAGAGATACCGCACTAGACGGCTGGCTTCTTGCACTTCCGCAATGGTATCTTGCGTACAAGCAAGCCAGGCACATCTCCCAGAAGCACATGCATGTCGCGACCTACCCATCAGGGGTGCGAGGCTCCGGCCGTGCGGGTTGCGATCTGGGTTTTGTGACTTGCGTACCCTTGACGCAGGTGTAGGCAACCACACCCAAAGGCTTTGGAGTGAGGCTCTCATAACTTGTGAAAGCTTGCGGGGCTTGGAGTTCAAGGTCTGTCACGGTTTCTTTGGCCTCAGGAGCTGAAAGTTGGGATGTCGGAAGGCTCTTCGGCTGGTTTCGGCTTGCACTTTCGGGTGGGCTTCGAGAGAAGATGCTCAGAGAGACCTTAAATTAAAACTTGAAGACGCTAAGCCACGGCTAAACATCGAGACTGCAAAAGAGCTTCCGGAACCTTCTACATCGAAATCGAACCCTAACACCCCAACAGCCGCAAACTATACAGTATAAATGTATAAACCTTCCATGAACCCGAAACCCCCACACCTTCCAATAACCCCGCCTAGCCTGTCCGAGTATGAGCGCCGGAACTGCTGTAAAGGGAAAAAGCTCAAACTCTAAAGCTTCACCTACAGGCGCCATGCTCAATTCTGACGAGTTGTTGACCTCGGAGAAACTCTATGGGCCACAGCCTGCCAGCGCCCTAGAAGCGGGTTTAGGGATCTTCAGGATCTAGGGTTTAGGCCCTAGACCCCTGAACCCTAAACCCTAAACCCTAAACCCTAAACCCTAAACCCCTGAACCCTAAACCCTAAGAGGTTGTGGGGGTTCAAGGTCCGGCTTTCGGGTTTTCTTGCTGCTTTCGTGCAGGATGCAGGCTTGAGGTTTGAAGGGTTTAGGTTTTTTCGGGTGGGTTTTTAGGGTTTTTAGGGGTTCTTAGGGTGGTTTTAGGGTGTTCAGGGTATGAAGGTTCAGGTTGCAGGGCTTTTAGGGGTTTCCGGGTTTAAGTTTAGGTTTTGGGGCGAGGGTTCAGAGGTTCAGGGTTCGCCATGGGGTTCGTGGCTGCTGTTTGCATGGCCTTGGGCCTTGGGGCGACTGAGGGATTTACGCAGTTTTGCTGGGCTTTGTGGCTTTTGCCTTTTTTAATTTTGGGTGCTCGGTGTGGGGTTTCGGGTTCACGTACGCATAGTTTAGGAGGGAAAAAAGTTTGAAGGAAGCTGAGGTGAAGGCTTCATAGAGGTTCAGGTTCTGCATCTGCAAAGTTTGAACGATCTTGGCTGGCTCTGCAACACAATGCGGTGATCCCGACTCCCTGCACGCTGAACCGCAATCGGTGCCTTCATGTGGGTAGTCTCTAAACTAGGGTCCCTTTGTCGGTCCCCAAAATAGTAGGGCACCCTCGGAAAAAGGATCCTAACTCTAAGCCCTCAGCCCTAAACCCGAAACTTGGGACCTTAGTTTAGAGAGCTACCCATGTGGCTGTTCGGAATGAGGATCTCTGGGCTTGGTCTGCACTGCCATCGTTTGTCTTATTCATCATTCAAAGCGGCCACATGGCCTAATTAACTCAAACCTAAACCCTAAGCCCTAAATCCTAAACCGAAAAAAACCTAAACCCTAAATCCTGAACCTACACCCTAAATCCTGAACCCTAAACCCTAAGCCCTGAATCCTGAACCTTCAACCTTTCACCCTGACCCTAAACCCTAAACCCTAAACCCTAAACCCTAAACCCTAAACCCTAAACCCTAAACCCTAATCTCACACGACTCAAGGTCCAGATGAACTTAGACCTCGAGCTCCCCGAGAGCTCCGTGATCCTGACGGAACTCCCGGCTGCCTCCATCCACAAAGAGGACGCGGTGGCCTCAGACCTTTACTAGGTGGCAATTTGGGAAACTTAAAAATTTCCCTTCTGGTTTCTATAGAGGTACCTATTCATAAATATTTTTCAGGGCCCCAAAACTACAACCCAGTTTAGGAGCGGCAAGGGCAGGATTAGAGAAGCTTAAGGGGGGCTTGCCAAGCAACTTCAGCACTTGTTATGCAACTCTTCACGCCTGCAACATCGCAACGTCTTTCAATGATAGCTGCTGACATCACCCCATGTCACTCCCAGATCTTTGTCGCGTTTGCCACACCTCCGAACTCAAAATGAACCCTAACCATAAAACATAACGCCCTATTTCAGGAACCACCGACGTCATCTGGCAGACCCGGTGCTGCGAGAGCCAAAACCCTAAGCAGCAGCGACACCTCCATTGGCTTACTTTTATGTTGTGTAACGTCTAGGGCCAGTCTAGGGTTTAGGGTTTAGGGTATGCTTGTTAGGGTATGCTTGTTACTATTTCTTGGGCCCATGGCTTTTGAAAGAGGCCCCAGCTTGGCGGGGAGTGTCAGGGCGGAGCACCACATTGCTCCGTGTTGCACTCTCAGAGAATTTACCAAAGTTAGTTAGGTTTCTGAGGCCAGCTCGGAAGATGTGCTGCCACTGTGGAAACATGCCGATGAGATATTATGGGAATCGGGACATGAAGCCGCGAGCCTCTTGTAAATTACCAGCGAATCCCTGTAGACTGGTACGGTGGGCCATGAAGCCTGACTTGCTCAGGTGTGGTTCCGAAGCGGCTGGACCGTGAAGGACCCGAAGGTCCACATAGCGCCGCCCTGAAGTCGTCTGAAGTCGAAGTCGTTCGTTTCTTTATGGGTTGGGGGGGGTCGCAGGTTCCACCCTAAACCCGAAGCCGTAAGCCCGAGAACTGACATCACTTTATAGAACTCGTGCCCCGCGCCGAAGCTATTCTCGCCACGAGGCGGTGAACCTAAACCCTAAACCCTAAGACCCCTTCGCGGATAATCCGATAAAGTTGGAACAATACAGAGAAGATTCGCATGGCCACTGCGCAAGAATGACACGCACAAATCGAGAAGTGTACCATTGCAAGTGTCAAGCCCTAAGCCCTAAGATAAAGCAGGAGCCCGAGCCTGCAATGGCCGAAACTCCCACGGGAAGGTTAAAGAGCCACGTTTTTCCCCGCATGATAAAACGGGAACGGTAGGAGTAAACGTCAGCCATGGTTCTTACCGCTGTTAACCGAACTAGCGGCGAGGAAATAAGGTTGACAATGACTCATAAGAATCATAACCCTAAGCTCAATATCCCGGCCATCCTTATGCAGCGAGCCTTCAATACGGCTGGAGAGTCCCAGTGTGAGCGGCGAAACCTTCAATGCCCCTAAACCGCAAACCCTGAGTGCCCTTACAAACTTAACCCAAACCTACACAACAGAGACTCTGAGGATACCTCGCCATCCCGTTGTTGTCTTACACGCCTCTGTGTGGCTTCAATATCTACCTCCGACCTGCCTCGGCTCGTTGTTTGACGAAGGCAAAGGTGGTAGCATATGTCAAGCAATCTCGAAACCCTAAACC